CGCGGGTACTCGCAGTGGGGCTACGACGGCGCGGATTACATCTCCCTCGCTGAGGACCTGAGCTCCTGGGTGGCGGCGGACACCGCGGCTCTGATCACGCAGCGCAAGTGGGTGGAGGCCGAATATGCAGAGCGCCTCAGGGCCTACCTGGAGGGGGAGTGCGTGGAGTGGCTCCGCAGATACCTGGAGAACGGGAAGGAGACGCTGCAGCGCGCAGGTACCGGGCAGTGAAGACCCTCCTGCTGCTGCCCGGACCTTCTCACAGGTGGAGTGGCTCAGGAAGAGCACAGAGGGTCTGGATTTTCCCTGTCTTCCCCTCAGAGCCCCCAGAGACTCACGTGAGCCACCACCCCGTCTCCAAGGAAGAGGTCACCCTGAGGTGCTGGGCCCTGGGCTTCTACCCCGCCGAGATCTCCCTGACCTGGCAGCGGGGTGGGCAGGACCTGACCCAGGACATGGAGCTGGTGGAGACCAGGCCTGCAGGGGACGGAACCTTCCAGAAGTGGGCGGCTGTGGCGGTGCCTTCGGGAGAGGAGCAGCATTACACGTGCCGTGTGCAGCATGAGGGGCTGCCTGAGCCCCGCACCCTGATGTGGGGTAAGGGGGACAGGAGCACAGGGCCCGCTGTCAGGGAAAGCTGCAGACGTCCTGTGGGTCCCGGGGCTCGGGGCTGAGACCCGGCCATGGAGCCCATTCCTCTCCCGTCCCTTCCAGAGCGGCCTCTTCCTCCCACCATCTCCCGAGGAGTTGAAGTCGTCGTGGTCATTGCCGCCCTCCTCGGCGTCCTGGTCATTGTAGCTGCGGTGGCTGTTGTGATGTGGAGGAGAAAGAGGGCCGGTAAGGAAGGTGGGGTCTGCGTGCTCTGTTCAGACCCGGGGGAAGTGGGCCCACCTCGGGGTGGTGAACAGCACCCACTCACAGGTGCTGAGCAGGCCAGGCCGGGACCCTTGTTCTGTTCCAAAGCACAGGGAACAGGAAGGACGATTTGTCACCGGATGGGTGTGGTGATGGGGCCCCGAGTCCAGCAGTCAGGGGTCAGAGGGGAAGGTCCCTGCTGAGGACAGAGCTCCAGGAGGGCAGTGGGGGAACATGTCCTTCCTCGGGCCTCCTGTCCTTCCCTGGGTCTGCGGCCCCCCTGCTGGAAACTTCCCCGGGGTCCGGGCCTGGGCCCTTCCTGCAGGCTGTCAAGGCCCTGCCTCCTCCCTGGCTTCTCACAGGGCATTTGCTTCCCTCAGGTGGGAAAGGAGCGAGCTACACTGCGGCTGCAGGTGAGTGTGGGGGTGATGCTGAGGGCCTGGGGTGCTGCAGTCGGGAGCATGGGGAGGCCCACCCCACGGTCCCTCCCTCAGCCCCGGGTCTGTGGGCTCTGACTGCGTCTGGCTGTGTTTCCTACCCCAGGCAGGGACTGCGCCCAGGGCTCGGACTCATCTCTCATGACGTGAGCAGGTGAGGCCTGAGCCCCAGTGGGAGAGGGAGACGGGGCCAGGCCCGGTCACACACACTGAGTGTGAGCCCTGGAGGGGGCAGCAGGGCGCTCAGACTCTGCCCTGTGCACGGCCTCCCCTGAGTGCGCTTGTGGCTCTTCTGTGTGGGCCACGGAGAGCTGACGGTGTGGGGCTGAGGGACAAGATCTGTGCCCCCCGAGAACCCCTGGGTGCTGTGTCTGCAGATGGCTTCTGGCCGTGTCCCCATTCCTGCTGGCCCAATGGGGGATCAGGCGAGAACAGCTCCCCCTGTCCCCACAGTGACCCGGGTTCCCTTCCTGCCCAACTCTCCTGTTTCAGCACAGGCGGGGCTGACCTCCCTCCCTGTGTCAGCATCAGGTGCCCTAAGATGCTTAAGATGCTTCTTACTTTCCTGTTCTAGTGACAGTTGTTTTCCAAAACGAGACCAAAGTAACACCATCTTTGTTGTTTGTTTTGTTCTTTGATACTGGGTCTCACTATGCAGTTGAGGTGGCCTTGAGCTCACTATGTACCGAGGCTGGCCTTGGACTCAGTGATCCTCCTGTTTCAGCCTCCCACCTGGCTCACAGGCCAGCACAGCCAGGCCGGGCTGTATCTCCAGCTACTGCTGGGCCCCGAGAGCTGAGGCTGTGCCAGGCTGCAGCCCAAGCCCCTGCCCCCAGTGCTTCACGAAGACAGCAGAGTTTCCTGATGAAGATACAAACGGAGTGGAGCAGACAGCTTTTTCCAGGAGGCTTCCTGCTTTATCCCACCCTTGTTTTAATTAAAGCCCTAAAACCATTTGCTGAGCAGTGGGGTTGGTGACCTCAGTAGTTCTGGGATCCCCACATCCCCCTGCTCTGTACTCGACCCTAATAAACTCATGTACCGGCCACGCTGGCCTTGTCCGATTCATGCTTGCACCGGTGACACTCAGCTCAGAGGCCGACGTTCCTTTTAGCTTCTCTTGGAAATCCACACGCACATGGAAAGGAAGACTGAATGTAAACTTGTGTTCCTCAGATTCCTGACAGAAGGGCTGCTGGTTAATTACAGGTGGTTCCTACAGTTGGGGCAGAGGCAGAGGGAGCTCTGAGAACCTCCCTCACTGTGCTGTGCTGAGTCTCTGAGGTGGGGACGGAAGGCTGCGAGGAGGAGCCAAGGTTGGCGTTCAGTGCTGGCTGGGCTCTGACGTGGTCCCTCTGCGGGGTCATCTCTGCTCCCGTGTCCTTGTCCCTCTAGCAGGGCCTTGTCCCTGTGTGACCTGGGGACTTAGACTCCTGCAGGACCTTGTTCTGTGTCCCAGACCATGGACAGCGCTGGCTTCCTGTGGCCTGGTCAGCCTGGCTGTGGCCTGCTGTGGCCTCACCCCACCCTCCGTGTTTATTTCCTGGTTCTTGGTTTCCACAGGGAATGTTGTGGACCGGCTCTCCCAGGGGTCTGATTTCCTTCTCTTTCGTGTGTCCCTGTCTCTGAATGTGCCAGGTATTCATGCTGTCACTGTCCCCAGAAGGCCTAAGTGACTGCTCCACACACGAGATCCTCCCTCCTCTTTGGTTTTTCTCCTCTGTCCTTTTAGAGCTGTTTCCACGCCTGTCTTTCTGTCTTTTGTCAATCTTTTAACTCCGATTCTGCATTCTGGGGATAGCACAGGAGGGATCCCATACTCCTCATCCTAGATCACTCATTTCCTGCTCTGCTCACCCACCCCTCTCTGCCTGGAGCTCCGGTCATCCAAGCCCTGGCTCCAGCGCGAGTTTAAAGACACATAGGGAGAGTCTAATGTAGATTAATACTTGGGAAACAGGATCCATCGACTCGAAATGTTTTCCTACACGGGGAAATGAAGGTGTTCTGTGCAGTGCAGAAGGCTGCCTGGGAGGGAGCAGGGAGGGAGGCAGCGCCTGTGAGAAAAGCCCAGGGGGCCCTGACCTCAGGGTGAGAGCTCACGGGGCAGCGCCTGGCCTGAGACCCGGAATAAGACCGGAGTCTCTGAGCAGCCACTGAGGGGCAGGAACTGCGGGTGTGAGTGCGGGTGGGTGCGCGTGTGCGGGCAGAGGTGTGGACAGGAACCAGGCAGTGAGTTCGAGTCCCACTCCCTGGACTCCACTTGCTGTTCTCTGCTGTCTCCCTCACACCTGGTGGCCGTGGGCCTCTGTATTTGATTCTTTTCATTCATTTGGAATTTTCAAAATTGTGTGATTGGGAGAGCAGGAGCAACAGGAAAGGAGAAAAGAGGAGAGCAGCAGTAGGGGAGCGGGAGGAGGGCGTGGGGATGGGAGGATGAACCTGGAGGTAGGGGACTGGGTCCCTGAGGCGCTGACAGAGTTAGTGACTCCTCGTACCTGCCTGTGTGCCATGGGGAAACTGAGGCTCCGAAGGACACAGCACGGTAAGGAGAAGCGGAGTTCACTGACCCAGCTTCCGGCCTAAATGAACTTGGAGGTTGGACTTAGTGAGAATGTGACTTCCGAGGCCTGGAAGTTTCAGCAGAGAAACGTCCACATCCGACCTGCCTCAGTCTGTGTGCAGACAGAGTCAAAGGTCCGAGGACACAGAAGCTCTGCACAGTGTTAGAAATCCGGAAAGTCTCCGTGCGTCTCCGCGTGAGATCACATACCTGTTTGCTTAGAACTGCGGCAGCAAACCCCAGGCTTTGATGGATTCACCAGGAAGATAAAGAAGGACCAGGGCAGAAGAGGAGGAGGACGATGGAGACGAAGATGATGAAGAGGAGGAGGATGAAGCCGGTCCACCCGCAGGATGGGAGGAGGAGGAGGAGGAG